GAGTCACTGGCCTGGGTAAATGTAAGAGTTGAAGAGCCAGTGTTTGTGTGTGAACTGCAGTAGTTGGCAGGAGGCTTCTGTGCCCGTGTAAACGTGGGTTACAAAGCTGTTCCTGTACAGAGATGGTAAACAGACTGAATGAAACTGTAGGTATGTGTCATGAACCTGTCTGTGAAGTTAATTACTGAGTCATAGAATCACAGACTGGTTTGGTTTGGAAAGACCTTAAAAACATCCAGTTCCACCCCCTGCCATGGGTAGGGACACCTTCCACCAGCCCAGGTTGCTCCAAGCCCCATCCAACCTGGCCTGGAACACTCCCAGGGATGGGACAGCCACAGCTTCTCCCTCAGTAGGGAAGCAAGCTAGATACTGGGTAGCTATCATCTTGCTCTGGGTCTGAGTTTACCTCTTGGCTTGCTGTGCTTTTCCTGCCTGAGATACTGTGTGTCTCTGCCAAAAACCCATCTGTGCAGGTTTGTTGCACTCCAAGCTGTTGTAGTTCCCCTCTTCCCTTCTAAAACATTTAAGCCATTGGTGCAGTTCCAGGAGTGTATGGGTTAAACAAAACCCTGGAATGCTCTGGTATCTCTGCCCTGGCCCAGCTCTGAAAGCCTGGATTAAGCAGCATCACCCCAGTGCTGGAGGCAGCAGGACCCACTGCAGAGCCAGCAGCCATGGCTGTACTGCTCTGCTTGCTCTCTGCAGAATCAAGAAGTTATTTGAACAGCTGAGCTTTCACTCCCTTTTTCTGAAGCTCAGCTGAAATTCCAGTCCTGTTAAGCAGAAAGTTGTAGCTCCTAATGTTTGAATGCATTTTGTAATGGCAATATGTTAGCCTTGTGTTTTTCTGAGGTTTTGTAGCATTTAACAAATCTCAGGTAGAAATTCCTTTTGCCATCTGTGAGTTTAGAGAACAGAGAACAAGTAATGGCAGTGGCTGAAGTCTGGAGTGGTTTTCAGAAAACCTCCAAGAATTAGTTGTTTTATCAATATTCATTTAACTGCTCTTAGTATTGATTTTTTTTCTGGAGCAGTAACCACCACAGGAACCAGAAGTCAGTTTTGCAGCAGATTTTGCATGGCCAGACTGCTGCATCAGAGCTCCAGAGAGCTAAGCCCTCCCGAGGCATTGATACTGCCTTGCTAATTCAAGGCTTTGGCCTTGCCCCTTGTGGTGCCTGCGCTGCAGAGCCTGATTTTCTCCCCCTCAGCCATTCCTTTCCACCATCCCCCGGTGACCAGCCCCAGCTCTGTGCCCCACGGAGCAGTGTGGCTCAGCCTCTGCTGGTTTTCTCCCTCAGCATGTTTTACACATTCCTGTGCTAGTGCAGCATTCCCCGTTGTGTGCAAACCCAGCATTATTCCAGGGTGGGAGTATTTGTTATCCCGGAGTTATGTATGGCAGGATTGCTTCTTCTGAATTGTACAAGTTACATAAGTGTTGCTTTTCTCCCAAGGCTTCTGATGGAAGCAGCTCCAGAGAGGATCTTTCATCCCAGCTGTTCAGAAGGAACGAGCAGATAAGAAAACTGGAGGTGAAGCTGTCTGGTATGTGTCCTCATACATAAAAAATCTCTTAGTTTAGGAGCTGGAGGGGCAGAGAGCAGGTTGAGCTGTTACACTGCTGCTTCCCAGAGCTTGTGGAAGGCCTTGGAAAATAAGGAAAGGTTGCAGCCAGCTCAGGATTATTTTCGTTTATTCTGGAGACTTGCCAGGCTCCTGTTCAGTTCAAAATAAAGGATTCAGAAACAATTTCACTTTGAATTTGAAAGGCCAAAGTGTTCACCTGTCTGCACAGGGTAAAGTTAAATTGTTGGCTGGGGCTCAGCGTGAGAGAGGGAGGCTGTGGGTACCAAGAGTTTTGTGCAGGCAGCTCAACCAGGAGTGAATCCTCCTTTCCACTGTGCACAGACTCCTCCAGGGGCTGTGTGCTTTGTTTAGGCTTTGCTTCCTGCCCTGGGTCAGCCGTGGGGCAGGCAGGGCTGGGGTTGGCAGTGAGGGCAGTGTCATCCATGAACTGCCCCTTCCTTGCAGCCTCCCGTGGCAGAGACATTCCTGAAGTGCTCTGCAGTGAAGTGCATGGGGCACAGGTGGATTCTCTGGCTTTGCCCTTGTCTGTGTGACTCACCCCCGGGACAGGCCCTCCTGTTTGTGCCAACCCTGTGCACAGCACTGAGCTCTTTGCTCGTGTTCATTGTTGTGGTCATCCAAGTTTTCCTGAGCAGG